AATGATTTGGCATATAAAAACTTATATGATGAAAGTTTTATCAAAATAAAGTTATCCTCATTTTTCGGTAACAAAAATAAAAATTTGATCAAAAAAATTTCAAAAACATCAAATTATTAAAAATTAAAATAGACAAAGTATAACCTACCTCGAGACGAACAAAATTTTCAAGTGGGCCAACCTACAAAAAATGGCTCTACTACCGTTAAACCCTAGTTTTTCTTCTCTCTTCTCTCTTTTCTCTCATTTTCTCAAATCATTCTTTGTTAAACAAAATTAGCTTAGGAAATGAAGTTTTTAAGAGTTTCATTAGTGTAAATATAATTTTATAATATAATAATATTAGGGTACAAAGATAATAGTTTGTTGTTTATATTTTAACATAAAATTAATATAATTTTTTTTATTTCTACAAATTTGGATATCCAAAAAATGTAAAAAAATATTTATAAATTAGCTAAATATGTCTAAAATACTCTGGTGAAATCGATTTGCAAAAGCACACCTAACGATCTAAAAAATCCTACTTGTATCGATAAGTGTCAATTTCTTAAGGAATTATACTAATGCCCAAAAATTAGGAAAAATTATTATAATTTAAAAAATAACAATATTTATGTTATGACGAAATTGATTTGCAATTTGAACTTATAACGACTCATAAATAAATTTTTAATTGGTGTAGGTCGAATTATATATATGTATATATTAAAATTTTAGGGATATAACCAGTTGTTCCTTCTATATATTTAATATGTTGCCAATGAGTTTGCATCATCATCTCTTTTAATAGTCCAAGCACATTAGGCCATCTGAGTAATTTATTTAAACTCTATAGATTTAACAATAACAAGTTCCTTAAGATTGAGCATAGTAAATGAGGGCTTTATCCAATTGATAAATTTTCAATAGTTTGAAGTTGACAATATTTTTGTTGATCCTAGGATGAGATGGATTTAGCAATAGAAGATAAGCTATTCCATTTAGAGTTTTAAAGGCTTGCTTAACATTATTGAGTTTTTTGACAAATAGGAAATATATGGTCCCTTTAATATAAATACTCCTGTTGTTGAACAAAAAGTCATGAAAAATGTTTAAATGTATCAAGGAGTTTTTTTGTTAATTAATCTATGGTTGGAGTGAATAGAAAGGTCTCACTAGGGGTGTCAATATTTGACATGACAGGAAAACCCAACCCAGAAAATCCGGGTTGGACCCGACCCGATTTCAAAACGGGTCGGTTTCGGGTTCCCGGATTCGACCCTTTTGAAAAAACAGGTCGGGTTCGGGTTGACCCGACGGGTTGGCAGGTCAACCTGGAAACCCGCTTAGAATGAGCTGCCCAAGGCTGCCCCGGCTACCCGCGCCTGCCCGCGCGGCCGCTAATGCTGCCTGCACCTTGCCCAAGGCCGCACGCTCCGCACAGTTGCCACTGTCCGCGCGCTCATGAGTCGCGCTAGTGCTGCCCGCGGCCCTGCACGCACCCGCCCTGCCAGCATGCACGCACCCGCCCTGCCCCGCACGCGCCCACCCTGCCGCCCGCCTGCACGCCCTGGGTCCTGTTTCTGGTCGGGTCAACCTTGCAACCCGACGGGTCGGGTCCAGGTCCGAATTTTCGACCCGTTTGCCTAACCTGGTTGGGTTAGGGTCGTCTCGATTGAACCTAGGTCAGTTCCGGGTTCGAACCGAACCCGACATGTGACCCGAAATTGACACCCCTAATATTCACTAGTGAAGGTACGTGATATTAGGATAAATGAATGAAAACCATGTAGTATGAGAGGGGGAAAGAATCAAATTAGCCTATATTGAAAAAGAATTTGTCCTATAAGAAACAAGTGGGTTCTCATTTTGATAATTGAACTAGATGAAAGACAAGCCCTAACTAGGAAGTCCAACAGAAAAGTACTAAAGATAAAATGATTTTAAAGTCTATAAACTTGTTACAAGGGGCGGCTCTTTCTCGAATTTCATCATTATTATTCCTAATACAACTAAAATCTCCAATAAAAATCAATAGATCATAATTTTGACCATTTAAATTTTTTATGGCCTCCCGTAAAATTGTATCCTCCTAGCACCATTCTTTGCACATGTGAAAGTGATAAAAAATAAAATATAATTAAAAAATTCTAGAAGTAAATTTTTGTATGCTATACATAATCATTTAGAATACAAACTATTTTTTGCATCAAGAAACTATTTATTTATTTATTGGTTATGGCTATAAAGTGATCTCTACATAGATGCTAAGTAACAAAAAAGAGAGAAAAAATATATATTTTTACAGTATTAAACAAAAAAAATTATAATATTAATTAGGAGGATGAATCTAGATAAAATTTAAATTTCTAATACATTATCTCACATTATAATAGTACCAAGCATATTTTATAAAGGATATGTGATATTTTAAAGTCCTATTTAAAATATCACTAATTGCAATGCTTAAAACATTACTATGCTAGAGCATTATCCCTTCTTGAAGCCAAAATAAGAAATATAATATATATGCAATATGATGATTTATAAGCTATATGCTGCATGCAGCTTTCAACTGAATTAAGTGCTTGAAAGAGAAAACAGTATATATATATATATATATATATATATATATATATATTACATCCAAAGTGTGTGCCATAGAGAGCAACATTACATCCAAAGAAATACAATAATCGTCAGGGCCAAACAATCTTATCGAAATAAAGACAAATACGTCCCCAAAATTAAATGGACTCAGATCGCCACCTAGTTGTCAAGCTTGGGCCATCTATGGAGGTAAAGAAGGTAACAGTCGAAATTCCAAGTACATCAAGACCTCAAAAATCAAATTCCACCAAATCTAATAGAGAAAGAACCACCTAGGTTGCCAACCAAGCCCTGACCATCCAAAGTGTGTGCATGAAACCTGCATCATCATTGTCCTGTCCCGATTCCATCACAACAAATAGAAAATAGTAGCAAAAGAAACCAAAATAACCACAACCATGAAACTTCCAACAAGAAGAATCATTTCTTTTTGGATTTTTGTTTTCTATGCTTAACACTAATTTTGAAAAAATCAACATCCGCAATTTGAAGAAGACTTAAGTCAAAGTTGTCTCGAGCATCCAAATATTTCTCATTAATTTCCTCCCCTTCTGCAGAAGAATTGCCATCATGTAACCAATCACCTTGCCTCACAACAATATCCCTAGCAAGGTGAACTAACATATCAACACTGGAGATAACAGATATAGACATATAAACATAGGCACCACAACTTCATTCGTACACTCATAAACCCCCATAGAATGAATATGTGAAATAAGCATCCCATAAGCCACATTATCCAAATTACCTAGCTCAACCGAAGCTCCACTACCCCCAGAAATTAAAGAAACCAAATTATCACCCGACACCTCCTCAACATCAGCACAAGTTGGACTAGCTATCAGCTTAATGCAACAATTATTGATATTCATGGAAACATCAACACCTTCTACACCATATATATTAGTACAATCAAGGGCTAAAGGCGCCGCATCCTCCCCAACATAAACAGGGTCATTCAAGAGTAAGACAGAAGCCAATGGACTAGCAGCTTCCACCGAAGATCCCCATCATTTCCGATAAGAGTATCAATTGGACCCAGAGCCAGCTCCAAATCCTTGGCAACACAAGAAACAACATTATCCAATCTAGACTCACAAACATTGCCACCAACATCCAAAAAAACAGGGCCATCAAGGGCAAAAGCCACAGGTTTAGAGGAAACATTCATGACCAATGGAAGCTCAACAGCGACTGACCCACACACAAGCAACATATTATCACCAACAACAATTTAGGGTTGAACACAAGGAGGAGGGATAGCATAAGTAAATTTATTAAGGTGCAAATGTAAAACATGATGTTCCACCTTCGAATGGCCTAATGAGTTACAATGCACATAATAAGCAGAGAATTCATCCATAATCACATACTGGATGTATCTTAAGTTATCAGAGCCAACCGAAATCTTATCAGGGAAATGTTTGTTAACATCAAGTTCTACTAGGACGCGAGCAACAGATGGTCGCAAACCAAAAGCAGTAGCATTATAGGTTTTTAGAGGTCTACCGAAGGAGAAATTATTATGTGAGGACGCCGAACGCAGTTCACCGTCCAAAGACCAACAAGAATGCTCCATGTCAGCGATACTGAGCATGGTACAGAGCGCGGTACCAAGCCTCACTACCGAGCTAGGTTGACGTGACACATTCTAGTTGGTCTCTAGACGGTGTTCTGCATCCATATAGAATAATTTGCCCTACTGAAGAGGAACCAAGGACATGAAGAAGACATGGAGCGAAAAGGTGAAGCCACAAATTAGGAAACGAAATCCAAATAGGGATGATAGGTGATTCAACCTCAATGTCAAAAGAAAGTGTCCATTTAATTAATTTCATGAAACAGTTACTCACAAAATAGGAACGATGAGCAAAAACACTAAAGTAATCCATGTTGTTAAAAAGCTTAATCAAAATATTCCGGGGATTGAGGACAGTGATCGAGTAGTCACCATTCAATTTTAGATTGAAGAAAACTTTTCTAATAGCATCAATCGATGGCCTACGGCCCGGAAATTTGCCCACAAGCGCGAATTCGAAAGGAGCGGTGAGTGAATAGATTTCCTTATTTGAAATCCACAAGGCTGGCAAACCACGGTGTGAAGAAATTTTAAGATTGGGAAATGAAACCAAGCTAGAAGGAGCACCAGATAAAGCAGCTTTAAAGGAAAGGGAAGAAGCAGACCCATTTAAAAAAATGGGTCTTTAGAACAGGGAAACACCATAAATCCGAAAAGGAAAACAACCAAAACCACAACAAAATGCTAAGGATGGAAGAAGCAAACTTCCCTGAAGTGTCGATGGAGATCTCCCAGGCGACGACTAGGGTACGAGGAAACCCTAGCAGAGCAAACATAAAAACTTGGAAACCTTCTCTTTATGTTTTTAGAAAAAACAGTACTTACACTTATTTATATATAGTAAATATCATCAGTTATGTATTAGGATATATGTTATACAATAATTTTTGCTATCACATAGTTGAAAATAATTGTTTTATTGTTATTATTATGCAAATGATTTATATTTATGATCAAAATTTAATTTTTTTGATTATTTGTTTTGCATATATAACAACAAATTTGTATTAGCAGCTCCTGATTAGACAAATTTCCGCCACCGGGCTCCGGGTACCCGAGTTGGCGACAAGGCTTATGGGGGCCGGCCTTTGCAGGCTTGGTGAAGAGGGAGACATGATGAACCCTTCATGCGAAGCTTGATCAGCACTGAAGGTAATGTTCTCCTACATTCCTTTTACTTTTTCCGTAACATTTTCTCTTTGCATTTATCTCACATAGTTATAGATTTCGTTTAATCATCACTGATTGTTTGCAAAAAAAAAAAAAGAAAGAAAAAGGCTGCACTTGACTGCGCATCACCTGTTCGACTGTTTGCCTTTGTAGACATCTTGTATGGCAATTAAAGCAGGCATCAATAAGAAAATCATAGTTTGTGTTTTTCAAATGAATATAAGCTGCTTTAAGCAATTCAAGTTGGCATTACAGAAAAATAATTGTTCTTGAACTAAGAACATTAGAATTGTTAGCTGGTAAAGCCTCTGTATATGTGTTTGAGCAAGTTGGAGCTTCAAAAATTTTTAGTAGACAAGGGGTTTTAACTAGCAAATTAAGTTGAGTTGATTTAAAGTTGGGAGATTCTTCTATTTTTTTGGACAGAAGTTGTTAGGAGCTGGGCAAAACCTAATTTAAATTACTGAGAGTGATAGCTACATCTTATGCCGGTTCGTTCAATTGATAGCTACATATTATACAGGTTCGTTCAATTGATAGCTACATCTTTATACAGGGTCGTCCAATTGATAGCTACATCTTATACAAGTTCGTTCAATTGAGCCACATCTTCACTATGATGATGAAGTTATTACTAGAAATTTAAAATATTAATCTCTAAGGCGTGTCTCACATAATGAAGGAGCCCCTCTATCTTTAATATAGATAAAAAATTGGGCCACCAAAAATTATAATGAAATCACCAAAAACAGATTTAATGAAAAAATTTATAAATAATGGACAATATTTAATCTCAAATACCTTTAATGAAACAATGCAAGAATCTTCTATTCAGTTTATTTCGGGCATTAATTAGGTTACATGGTGGAAGTTTTTATGTATACTGGGCATGAAAGCAATGGATTTTGTATGGCTTGGATTGCTTGGTGGTAAAATAATGTCGAAAGATTAGAGATACACTGGTTTCATGGGATGGAATCAATATGTATTTTTGACATTAGGAGCATAAGCTAGGGGTGGAGTTGGGCTTATAATGTTCATATTCTTTCTCATCAGCAATTACATTGTAAATTTTCTCTTTGAACGGTCGATAGGCATACGATTTACCAAACCATTTACTCTTGTGTGAAGATTTTATGTATGCTCCTTATTAATCACAGGACGTCTTCCATTATGAATTTCTTACCTAAATGGTATTGGGTTTTGTTAATTCAAATTTTGATTGTATATGTAGAACTTCTGAAATTTGATACGTTGTGAAAGCGAAAATAACAAGCAAAAGAGAAGAAAAATATAGGAACAACAAGATAGGGCTGATTTTTGATTCATCTCTTCAATAATAAAACAATATACAATTGTTTTACTATTCGAGAGGTAGGTCAACTCTCCAACAAATCCTAGACGCCACTAAGAACTCACAACAACACTAGAAAAATAAAATTCAGCAATAGGATAAACTAAACCCTAGACAACTTTCCCTTAAATAGCCCTAGAACATTTCCTTATCAGCATACACATAATTTAGGAGACCTTCCTAAATAATTAGGCCATTTCTAATTAGCCTAACCATAATTTATGAAACCTTCCTAATCAATTTGCAGCATAAAAATCTTAGTAATTCTTTCCCTTCTTTACATAGTGAATATTAACTTTCTTAGGCCCCACAAGAGGGGCCAAACCCCACTCCCTGCTGCTGCTCTGGTTTTCTCCCAACAGTTTTGTTGGGTTTGACTGATCTGGGCCAGCTAGCAGGTTCCCACCCTCCTTAGGTGTAATAATAGCCCCCTCCCAAAGACCCACCTGGTTCTCAAGATGAAAAAATGAAAACTGGTGCTTTACCCTCTCGTACAACTCCTATGTGGCATCATAGTTGGGTATGTTCTTCTATTTTATCAGCACTTCCTTGTTCTCTCACTTTCCCTATCTTACCCCTTCTCCAATAGTTTCAACATAACCTCCAAATCCTCTGTCAGTGTCACGGGTAACTCAGAACTGGATGCATGATCATCAATAGCTCTCCTCAACTGTGACACGTGGAACACTGGATGTATAATAGCGGTCGGAGGTAACTTCAATCGATAAGCCATTGCTCTAATCCTCTCCAATATCTCATATAGACAAAAATACCTCAGGGTCAACTTCTCATTCCTCCTGTTAGCTATTGTCCTTTGTTTATAGGGACGAAGCTTCAAGTATATCATATCCTATACCACAGCAAACCTGATCCATCACTCCTGTACTGTCAAGCAGAAATTCAACTATACACATTAATATACGTCGATGACATATTGGTCAGTGGCAACGACACCTCCTCAATTCAAAATCTCCTCCGACAACTCAACTCTAATTTCTTATTGAAGCAACTAGGAGCAGTATCTTTATTTCTTATTATACAGGTACTCCAAACATCCAAAGGGTACTTTCTCTACCAATAGCACTATGCCTATGATCTACTTCAAACAGCTAGTTTTGCTGACTACTAACCATCCCTCATACCGATGGCTCTCAAGTCCAATCGTGGGCAATCTACTGATCAGTTATACTCTGACCTCTAGCTCTACCGCAAATTAGCTGGCTCACTCCAATATCTCTCTATCACCAGACCTAACATTGCCTTTGCCACGAACTCTATATGTCAACATGCATCAACCGAGAAAATGTAAAGCTCTTAAAAGATTGTTGCAGTATATCAAATGAACCATATAGTTCGGCCTTCTCCTAACTACAGGTGATTTTCAACTTCGAACCTATGCTGATGCGGATTGAGCAGCCAACGCTATCGATCGAAAATCAATCACCGGGTTCTGCATGTTTTTAGAAGGAAACAATCTCATCTCCTGATTGGTCAAGAAGCAAGTAACCTTCGTCGCCTCATCCCCGACTTACAGATCCCTCAATTCTCACCAACCGTAATCTATTGTGACAACACCTTGGTCATCACCCTAGCCAACAATCCGGTGTTCCACACAAGAACAAAGCACATTGAAATAGACTATCACTTTATCAGCGAGCACATCAAGTCTGGAGCCATCATTGATTCTCACATCAACTCCACTGATCAAATAGCGGATGCTCTCATCAAACCTCTTCCAACAACTCGTTTTTACTATATTCGTCTCAAACTAACCATCCGTTCCATGGATGCTTAGCTTGTGGGGGCCTGTTAGCACAAACAACAAACGACATGAAGCACGATCTCTTTCAAGGATCAACTCCACTACCTCTGCGGTTGTAACTGATTGTCACACGCAGTCATCCACTTCTTTTATAACCAACTGTCTCAATGTGCTCTCTCTATATACACATTCCTGTATAGTTGAATTGTTAAGATTAAAATTAGAAAGGATTTCTTCTCTGTTATCTATCTCTTCTTCTGTTCTCCATCTCTGTTTCTCCATTTATGCTTTTGCCAGCAGGGTCTTTCAGTCTTTTTTCTTTGTTGGAGTTTCTGAGTTGTGTTGCTTTTTGTCTCTTTGTGAGTTTTCTGCCTTTTCATTTTGTTTGTTGTATTTTTATGTTAGTTGGATCATGACTCATTAGGTTTTGCTTCAAATATTGTATTTTTAGAGAGCTCTTGATCTTTTAAGGACTTGTAACTGTTTTATTTATATGACGCGTAGGCCCCTTCTGTGGGTTTTATCCAAAAAAAAAAAGAAGCTAGTGTTGCGCACGGAAACTCACCACCTCCAACTACTCAAATGTAATAGTAGTCCCTTTGTCTTGAAAACTGGAATAGGACCTTCAATGACTTCACAAGTTGCTTTAAGCGCAGCAAATGAGCTAAACTGTTTCTATGTCAACAGTAAACATACATTTTGCTTGTGTAATTATAATAACAATGAACTTTCCATCTGTATGTGCAAAACTTGTTAATCAAAATAAAACAAGGGCCAAAAACTGTTATCTTCCAGTGAGCACTGTTATGGTCGTATCATTTGAAAAAAATGATTCATTTCCATATTCTTTTGTGTCAAACTGATTTCCTTGTGATATGTAGGTTGGCTGCTTCGGTGTTGGAAGATTGTTCATCATACTCCCAAGCATGAGAAGCACTGAAGGCATGTCAGGCCTATCATTTGCTCGATCTTGGACACACAGTAAGCCAACATGTATGCATCTCATCACCTGACGAGTAGAGCATGTTTCAAGTATTGAAGAATCAATAAGCTCCATAGCTCGGTCCTCATTCCACAACTGCCATGCCTGACAATAATCCAGGTTAGAACCCTCATCTTTAAATCTGAAAAAATTAAATAGAAATCATTTTATCTTCTCACTTACATATCCTACAATGTTTATTATTGAGTTTCCCATGCGGTGAAAGCTGTTGTTCCTCCTACCTGAAACAATCTCCAGGACTAATATCCCAAAGCTATAGACATCGGACTTCACGGAGAAGAGCCCTTCCATCCCATACTCAGGAGCCATATAGCCGCTTCATATAAAGATGTCAATCAAACTATTAGCAAGCTGAAATGCATTAGAAGCTCTGATTCACCATAAAGCTACTTACAAAGTCCCAACCACTCGTTCTGTATTATCATGATTCTGATCATTTCCGAAGATCCTTGCCATGCCAAAGTCTGATATTTTGGGGTTCATACTCTCATCTAGTAAAATGTTGCTGGCTTTAAGATCCCGGTGAATTATTCGTAGCCTTGAGTCCTGGTGAAGGTAAACAAGTCCTCTAGCAACCCCTTCTATGATTTCAAACCTTTTGCTCCATCCTAGTAATCCTTGCTTGTCTGGAACTGTTGAGTTTTGTTAAACAGTTAAGTCAGAAATAGTCAATATATTCAAGAATTAACGGTGTTTTGATCTGGTATATACCAAAAATAAAGGCATCCAAGCTTTTATTAGGCATGTATTCATAAATCAACATATTTTCCTCTCCTTGGATGCAGCAACCTAGAAGCCTGACTAAATTCCTGTGCTGCAACTTAGCTATTAGTGTCATTTCATTCTTGAATTCTTGTTGACCTTGCCCTGAACTTCTGGACAGCCTTTTGACAGCAATGTCTTTTCCATCTGGTAGCACTCCCTGCATAATGAAAAGTAGAAATTCACCAACTTCACCTTGTTGCTGACTTTTATTCATGCTATTTCATTGTTTTTCATGTTGTCCAAATCTTCAATTATTTTGCATTTTCATTTTTTCTACTTAAAATTTGACAGTTGTATTTATTTATCCACCATTAAAATTCAGCTTATATTTGAAGAAAACATGTTGATGTTTCCAAGAGTTTACAACCTTACCTTATAAACATGGCCAAATCCCCCTTCTCCAAGTTTATTTGAATTATTAAAATTATTCGTGGCGGTGGCTATTGAATCAAAGCTATACAGTGGCAGTTCTATACCATTTGCTTCGAGCCCCTCGTCTACACTTCCACTTAGTCCTGATGACTCTGTTATGCCTGCTCTCTTCGATGCCAAACCATCAAAGGAAACCTCTCTCATCCTGTGCTTTTTCCACCAATCTGTGGATTTTGATTTTTTTAGTACAGTTCTAACATTATTGTATGTATATATTTTTCGTAACTGTTTCACTGCGTGAATATAGATGCATACCTCTTAGCATGACATGATATTTGCATAAAATGACGGCAAATGCAACTGCAAAGAATATAGCCAAGGCGCATACAATCGCAATTATTCTCCATATCTTGCATTTATTTCCTGCAAAATAAATAGCATTATCATATTCATTGTGCTTCATACTTAATTTAAAGTGCTCTGCCAGCTGTCTGTATCATTTTGAAACAATTATTCTGTGCGGATGCCGAACGCTGTCCGGAGACCAATCAAAATGCGTCACGTCATCCCTGATCTCAGTACCGCTGACATGACATATTCTGGTTGGTCTCTGGACAGCGTTCTATGTCCGGCCTCTGCACAGAATAATTTCTCCTCATTTTGGCTTGTATTTTTTACTTTGAGGGTGTTGCTACAATTTCCATGATCTTTATCACTCTAGGATAAGGACTAGTCAAGGCAAGAATATGATTCATACTTCCATATTCCCTACGCAACGTGTTCTTTCTTAGATTATATTTACTTAATTATTGATCATCAAAACAAGCATGCGGAACCTTGTAACTTTTTGGTAAAGAGTTATTCTAAAGGGAAGCAAGTTGCTCAATATCATATATATTAGAAGAATAAATGTTTGGCCATGGTGCACCTTATTTGATCACATTTTTCATGTGAGAGAGGCTTATGTCTTCCATTTTACTTCTGTTGTGGGTCATTCGTTAATATAGTGGGTAGAAACGCACTAGATCCCACATGATTATACAATGGGCTGTCAATTTTGACAATTATTAATGGATTAACAGTAAGCATTCATTATAAATCATCCAGTGCAAACCTTATATTACAGACACTCGTGACATCATAAAAACAATCAAGACAAAAATAGGCACTAACACAAAAGCATGCGTGAGAGACCTCTGCAAAATAAATAAATAAATAAATGAGAAAATTAAAAATGAGAATTTGATCATGATGCCTTGAGATAAATTTAAAGATTGATAGGCAGTTTTGATAAATGCAAGAAAGGAATTTCTAGTAGGTGAGGCAATTTTTTTGTATTGCAAATTAGAGGTATCTATCAACAATTTTTTTATTTCTGTCTTGCTTGCAATTATGAGTGGATGAAATTGTCTTGTAGTGCAATCACACTCTCTTACATCTTAGTTTAATTTCATAAGCCAAATTTTTTTATGTCATCCTTATCATGATTTAAGTTTGAGGGCACTAATTATTTGGAGTGTGAAAAATTAGTTAAATATATCCTGATTTAACTTTTTCTAAGGAGATATTCATTTGCTTCTTCCTATTTTGATAGATTCTTTTATTTTACTATTCAGAAAAGCTGTTGCCTTCTAATATTATTTTTCTTCTAATATTATTTTTGTAGGACGGAAGTTCTTCTTGTCTTGCGAACACATAAACGTTTATCTTAAAAAATTAAAAAGACAGAAGTTTCTTGGTTATGATCACCTAAAATTGAGTAGCTAGCTCTGGACGTCGTGACTAAAATATTTTTGCCAAGAGCTAAATAAAAATGGAATTTTGATTGGAGTTCTCACCCAATTCCGACGCTGCAAGCTTGATGTAGAGGTCATTTCCGTTGATGTTATCACCTTCAGCAAACTCATAAACGTCGATAATTCTGCGATCCCATGTAAAGCAACCAATTCCTAGAATATACGCATAAGCCTTGCAAGAACAATTACTCTGGCAATAGCTCTCACAATCCTCGTTATTTCTAACTGTTGAAGCCCAATCAGAGAGATCTGGAACCTTAACCCCTTCCACTTTAAAGAATCCATCTTCTCCATCTCTACTACCATTCATTTCACAACCCAGCTCAGTTCTCCTAACACATCCACCACTCCAATTCCCATTCCCCCACTCGTCGCCATTCTTTGGCTCAAATCCTTTCAAACATGTACAAATTGGCGTGGAACTCTGACTGCAGATGCTGAATTCGCCGCACTTACCATAAATCTCACAATCATTCACTGGTTGCACCCAAACTGATTCCCACTGCTTGGTTTTCATCACCAACATGGAAGTGTTCTCCACTCCATCCCACTGTAGCACAAATCTGATTAAGGAGCCGTTGAATTCAGTATAGGTGAAGTAAATCAAACCATTGTCGACATCATTTGTCAGATGAAACCCATAGAGGTACAGTGGCCTCATTGTGGTGCCGATGAACTTGGTGCCGTCCCACTGGCCTGACCGCCACCGTGGCCGACTGTCTCCCTCCCATATAAAGATTTGCCCCGAGGAATCAAGCCCGAGCGAGTAGTTTCCGGTTGAGGGATCGTCAGCGCTTCTCCATGATCTGAAGAGAATTCTACTCTCGGTCTTTTTGTTGAATAAGAGTTTCATACCTGGGAGGAATGTGTCTGATGGGTGGTCAAAGCTGTCCCAAATTATTGTTTCATTGGCCAGCTGAAGAACTAGTCTTCCACTGTCAAGAAGCATAAGTGACAAAGAGTTGTTTGATGTTGTGGAGGTGTCGGTAGACCAGAGAGAGTTTCCCGCGGCACGGTCGAGGAGGGAGAGATTTCCATTGGCTCCCAAGCTGAGGATGCCCGAAGAATCTAGCAATGGGTTGTCCCTGTTCGCAATCCAGACGATGGATTGCGTTGGGATGTTGTGGTAGTAGATGCCAAGGTATCGGCGGCCGGAGCTACCTTGTGGAGAGAAGAAGCCAAGTTCGAAGATTTTGGCTGGGGAGATTAGAGTTTGGCCATCATCTGTGAGTGACTGACCTTGGAGAAGAGTTGTGGTTCCTGAAAATGTACAGATAAAAAGGGATAGCGAAAGGAGAAGAAGCGGAAGAAGAAAGGGTGAGATCATATTTGGAGTATGAGCAACCAACATACAAGAACGGCTTATGACATTCCTCTTTGGACCATTATATTATATTACGCTGGTGGTTATAGAAAAGAAATATATCACATGATGAAATTATTCACAGAATAAAAAGATTGTTAGCGGACTTTTCTTTCTTATTATTTTTCGACCTTTCAAATGTTTTTTCCCTGAACTTTATGGCTTGCTCGGACATGTGTTGTTGAGTTGGTCAATCAATCAAATTGCTTGTTTGCTTGTGAGATTATAAATCTCCTCTTTGGCGGCTGCATGTTGGTTTGACCAAAAATTTATATGATTCTTAGGCGTCGAAGAATATGGTTGGCGACTGAAGAAAGGTCTTGCTAATTTTTTGGACTAAATTGTCAAAGTCAGAAAGGAAGTCAAAAATTTTAAATTCTGGAATATCTAGTCTAACATTCATGTACTATTATTATTCGAAGAAAGGCTTCAGCCTTTAGATATTTTCTAGGAGGCTTCTTTGATATTGACGAGGTGATGACTCGGCTTTGCAATATTTTTTCAGCGGTGATTTTTCATCACGTTTAAGTTACTTCTTTATTAGGTCTATGAATTGTATCCATCGTGAAGATGAGTTTCGAAATGTAGATATTATTAATCAGTTTGCTGCATGTCAGAATATTCATAGCCTTAAAAATGATGAGTTTAATTTTTTTTTTAATTTTGTACGAAGATTCAGCTTGTAAAATAATTCGAAAACATCTTAGATGAGACAAGAGTTTTTGTGAAAATTTTAGAAAGAGAAAATTACGGGGCCTAACCCTATTAAAATAGCTTCACTATTGTATGTTGTCAGTTAAAAATGATGTCATTTCTTATATTTATGGAAGGTATTGATACAATATAGTAGATATAAACTATAAAGAATAAATTTTATGGTAAAAGTTAGAATAGCCTTGAGATATTGGAATATTCTTAAAGAATTTGTTTACAATCTATTTAGTCATTCTCCTTTGAGGGTTGAAGGTCAGAAACCAAGAAGTCTAATATAAACATTTGTTTTGATATGGGGATTTGGAGTTAGTATCTAAGGCACAAATTGGCCATATTAGTGATGACATGTGTCAATATTGTTGGAAACAACCTATGCTGAAGTTGACATGCGTTGGTGTTGGTCTTGAAAAATATTGTGATACAATATTCAGGTGAAAATATTTAGGAGATCATAGTCAAGCAACACTGGTGGATCCACTCAAAAAGAGAAAGGAGGGATCTTTTTGGAATTATGCCCCCCCACCCACTCTGCCCCTCAAAAAAAAAAAAAAAAAAAAAAAAAAAAAAAAAGACCTAATCTTGCGCGTGGCTGCCCATCTCGCCATCCGTTCGTAAATCATGTCTTCCCAATCGCCTTGAAGAGGTCGCCGCCTTACTCTTCGAAGCCTTTGTTATCTTCTTCGCAGATCGCTGCCGCAGCCACAGTCGCAACCCTTGTCTTTGCAGCCAATCTGCTTCTTCGGCTAATCAGCTCTTCGCATCTCGAGACTCGCAGCCTTCGTCCCTTCGGCATTCTTGGAGGCCTCCTCCTTTATCTTCGCCATCTTCCCAGAATGGCAGTCGCATTGTTACAGCCGGCGTTTCTGCTCATTGAAGGGAGCTTTATCTAATCGAACAGTTTTATTTTTTTTTTGTGCCGCGTGCTTGGAACTGTGTGGGCTGGTTTGCTGGATTTCCACTGCATTGATTGTTTTGTCCTTATTTTCCTTCTTCCTCCTCTTTCTGGATTTTATTTTATTTTTTTTCTCCTCTTTGATCCTATTGTCTACTGCAACCAGCGCTTAATGACAAGAAAAAAAAGAGAGGAATCTCAGGGAAGAGAGGAGATTGATAGAAAAAGAGACGCAAATAACAACCGGTTTGCGGCCTTGATGAGCTGAGGGAATGAGCGGTGATGCAAATTCTCCTCATCTAGATTTTGGTTAGTGGTTTCTTTCACATTTTTTATACTTTAAGCATTAAATCTGTTTGTTCGTCTTTTTGTTAAGAACCAATTTACAAAATCTCATTTTTTTTCTTTTGGGCGTCGGTAAGGTTTTTGTAACACCCCACAGTATCACTATACTGTACTGTAGAGTGTAACAATAATCATTATAACATTTCCATCATTTACCTCTCATTTCTGTTGAGTTCATTTCATATCTAAATAAAAGATCATATAAACATCATTTGGAATAACAAAGGAAGCATCTAATAATTCCCCAAATTTCATCACATCCAAGACTTTATAGAGAGCCACTAATGAAATCCAAACTAATTCAAAGTATTACAACATTAAACAAGTTTACTAACCTCAAGAGTAGATTTCACAATTTAAATAAACATTGATATAAAACTTAAATACTTGCTTATCAATCTTCCTCCACTTTTTCTTTTCCTTTTCCTGTAACAACAGTCAGTAATGAAAATACTGGTGAGTTGTGAGGCCCAGTAAGTTATGCATTTATAAATAGAAAATTTAGAACAATAAAACATGAATAAAAATTTAATTATTAGAGAAACTACAAAACATTTTATTTGACATTACCTTTAACTGTTATCTTAGATCCATAGTGAATATAAATTTTCTCATTAAAATGTTTGGCTATTCTTTCATAAATAAATTTAATGGAGCCCAGGAAAACCTGGCATTATCGCCATTGAATTTCATAGAGGTCCCTTTTGCCTCTTTAGGGGTCCCTTTTGCCCCACCTGCTATGCAGGTATCATTTCTTTTGGGGTCCCTTTTGCCCCACTTACAAGATAGTTAAATATTTGGGAACCCTTTTTTTCCCAACTATCCTTGCAAATCATACATCATATACATATAGCCAAACTTTATGTTAAATTGATATTCAATATACTTTTATAACATAACTCATACTTGTATTGTTGCTTTCATAAAGATCTTTATATGCAACTATGTACCATATGTTAAGAATGAAGATTCTTTTCAAAATCTTTTCAACTAGTAAAATCTTTAATGAAACATAATAATTCTTATTTGGAAGTCTCATGATTAAAATATATAAGAGGTCTTTCATATATGAAAACTAGGTTAGGAACATCCTTTAACAGAAAATTTCTTGTGATACACATTTCTCGTGCATTCATTCAACTACTAATATATAATGCAAAAGTAACAAGAATTACATATTCAATATACTTTTAATTTGCATAACTTACCTTCGTGACGGTATGCTTCTTCCAAACCTTCACTTCTTACTTTTATTCTATTATAAATCACTCCAAAGCCCCCTCTTTGCATAAGACTATATAATCTATATCACCCTAAATTATGATTTGCATAAGAACTTTATTGAATTGAACTAGTATAAAAGATAGAGAAATTTATGATTCTTACCTTTGTCTATCTTCTAAGATTTAGTCACTCTTCAATTTGAAGGTCTTAATTTTCCTTCACTGTTTCAATTATTAGTTTGAAAACTTACATCAACTTACACTTCATCGTATAGTTTTATAGCAAACATCTAAGTCTTAATAACAATGTCTAATAAACTTCTTCAATTACCTGAAGTACTAACTTTGCTGATGCTTCAGACGTTCACAAAAACCTTTACTCAATTTCTCTTCTTGATTCCAATCTCCACGGCTGCTATGCTTACCCGATTCTTCCTGTCTTGAACCGATCACTTCTTTGCCCCTTGCACTATACCGAGAATTCTACTCAGCCTTCACTATGTCGCAGCCTTCACTATGCCGCCCTTTGCAAATCACTGTGCCGAACCAAGCACAATAGTTTAAGCACTCAGCTGAATTTTGCTAGGCTTTTCTTCCGAAATGTCCTACAGGGAAGATTTCTATTATGCCGTTTCCTTCCAACAGTGGCTTGCATAATCTCCAAACCGGATAATGATATAAGGAGTGGACCCCGCACACAACAACTGCTACCTATCTACAGCCATCAGAAGCATCTTTTGGAAATTAAGGGATAATTTACTTAATTTAATATATTATTGATTACTAATACTAATGATTTATTTTAACAGAAAAAATTATAGTAATTAAATTGAGTAAAACCTGAATTTCCTGGTGTTACAGTTTTTGTGGAGATCTAATACTCACTGCTTTGCAATCGAAAACTGGTTTGAATCTGTGAGTGAAGTTACTGGTTTCATACGGTTCTGTTGAAACGGATTTGAAGGAAAATTGTTCTTGATCTGCTTTGATGTTACCCTTAAGTGTAAAATATTTATTTCAAAGTGAAATTCCTTTAATTGACTGAAAATTTAGATTATTTGCTTGTAGCAATATGAAATTCGTTTAATTTACTGATGACAGCATTATAAATTATAATGGTTAATTTTTTTAATTATTTAATTATTTTATTAATAAATTTTGCCCACCTAAAAAAAAAAAAAAAAAGCTAAACCACCCCTGAGACGACAGACAATGATTGAGGATTGATTTACTTGGGCCTTGAGTGAATGACGAGATCTTAATTGAGCAAAAATGCTTGAGGACGTACAATAAGTGGTGATGTCTAGGCCATAATTGGGTGATCATTGTTCGCAATACATCAAGTTTGTGGCATTAGTAATCGGCAAGGAGAAATTCAAGGTATTAAATTGATTATTGATCGAAGTTGAATCAAATATAATAAATATTAAAAATTAATTTAATAAACATCTAATATTTGTTAATAATTATTCAAAAATATAAATTTATGATTATTAAACTAAATAAATTTTCCATACAAAATAAATATTAGTACAAATGTTAAGTTAAAACATATCAATCTTTTTAAATTTTAGTTCAAAGATTTAACATAAAATTACTTCATATATAAGTTTAGAATTAGTATAAAAATATAGCTAATTTAGGATTATATATTTATATATAATTTAAACTATAAATTATACACAAATTTACTTGCAAAATTCAAATATATAAATTCATGTTAGAGTCACTATGATCATTATAATTAAAAAATATAATTAATTTATAGTGTATTATAATAAAAATTAAATGAATAATAAAATTATATTCAGATTATAAATCAAATTAATTTAATATTTCACATTATAAATAAATTAATTAAAAATAGAAGTTAAAATATGAAATATATGTGTTTTGAACTTGGAAAGTTTAACTTGATTATTTAGTCATATACTTGCACCATGTGTTAGCATTGTTTATATAGTTTTTTTGGTTCACAAGAGTAAATAAGTCACATGGAATGGTGGAGCCAAATGATAAAGCTTGAATACTTATCATAAAAATGTAATGCTTATTTTAAAATTAAAATAAATAAAATTTTAAATTAGTTCATT